GCACACACACATACACACACATACACACGCACATGCAAATACACACGCGCAAACACACACAAACACACACACACATACACAAACACTCACACTCACACACCTGTGAAGATTGACAAAAAAGGGGGGGGGGATGAGCTGGATTTGGAAAGACGAGAGTCGTAAGTGGTTACTGAAAATGATAATACTAATATTGTTACAACTATCGTGCAGTTTTTGAGAGGAGACGAAGAACAGGGAGATGGGTATTTGCGCAATATCTTGAGACTTATTTGGGTTCAAAGTGAAGCAAAAGTGTTATAGTCATGGTCAGACAGGCAGTTCGACTTACAAACAGCGGACGGACTGACGGACAGCAAATTAGCTAGATGGACAGGTGAATGAATCAGTACAGTAAAGGAGAATAGTATACAATAACAGACAGGGATTGTGTAGACTATGCTGTGGTTTTGGTGGATAAAAAGGGGAGGGGCTGGACACCGAGTTGGATTTCGTACAATACCTGACATGAACATTTAGAATAGTTTAAACAAACACATTCAAATTGGATGAGTGTGTGTGGGGGGGGGGGGGATAGTGTAGCTCTTTGAGTTTGTATCTGCCTATGGACTCAAGTTCTGTAAAAATCCTGCCAAGATATTTAGGCTCTTTCACCTGTTTCATTAATTGTTTGTTGTCCTCATGAATACATCTAAGGGGCCATGATTTCAGCTGACTTTCGTGGTTTTTTGTTTTTGGTGTGCTTATTTTCATGTCAAATTTTTCACACAGCTGTTGTTGTTAAGTCCGATGGTGTGACTTTTGGAGACTTGAGTGGTGAAATGGTGGCTTTAACGCCTCTGTCAACACTATTGGGTTATTTAAGAGGTGGGACCTCCGAGTTTAACGTCCATCTCCGAAAGGACCGAGCCAAATGGGAATTTCATATAAAGTGCCTTTTCCAAGAACACACAGTCGGGTCGAGCTGAGGCTCGAACTCCCGAACCCGCAACCTCTTGATTACGAGTCCGGTAGCCTAACCACTAGGCCACCGGGCCACTTTGCCAACCTGGGCGGTATCGTCCACGCCCACTTTTGGACGGTTTGCGATTTTTGGGGGACGATGGAGATTACCCGGGTAATGACAAGTGTTCAATGCAACGTTTGAAAATGAATGTACATGTCGGTGTGCGGTACAACAAAAAAAAGCCTCTTAAAGATTGAAAAAGATGAGAGCTGACTATTAAAACACTGACAGGCACGGGTGTGTAGGAATGAGACATTCGTTCATGTATACAAACAGGAGTTGATTAAGTCTTTTTGGACTTTGGTTTGCGTCCTGCTTTATTTTGTCTTTATGGATAATGAAAATGGGGTGGGGGGGGGGATAAAACACATCCCTGTCGTACTCCTGATGTTACGGTGAACTAGTTTGTGTTCTAACTGAGTTTCTGCTATTAAAGTACAGAGCTCTAAATGTGTTCAGCAATTGTCTCTGACGCCATACTGCTTCGTAGTTCATAACGGTTGATTCTGTCAAAAGCCTTCTCCTAATCTGTGAAGCCAGTGTTGGCTTCCTTGTTGCAGTGGATTGTTTTCTCACATAGCGCTGCAGTTAATTGGAACATAAAATCCATAATCGAATAGATCGCATAAATACGTAGGATAAATATAATTGCAGTGAGGGATATTTTTGCTAGTCCCCCAAACACCTCCCTCC